TCACACTGTCCTGGGCTCAGTGCTATGGCCACTGAGGTCATCCCTAATCCTGGGATGTTTGCAGCAACGCCTGAGCCTGCACACGCATTTTGGGGCTCCCAGTGACAGGGGTCTGGAGTTCAGGGTCAGGCTCTGCCCCACACCATGGATTGTGGCAGGACTGGGCTGTGTGGGCACAGAGACTCAGCAGCTCCGCTTGGAGCAGAGGCAAGAGTTGGCACAGCTCAAAGCAGAGATCTGGTACTGGGGTGAGCACTGGGGTAAGCATCCCCTGCACTCTCCCAGCCCTAGGGCACCCATGAGGTGAGTCTGCCCCTCCTGCCCCTTCACAAACAGTGGGAGATGTGCCCAAGCCTGCCATAGCCAGGCTACCCCATAACCCCAGTACCCAAGAAACCACATGGGCAACATTCTTAGCTTGCAAAAGCCAAGGTCCAGGCAGCTGCTGCAGAGCAGAGGGCTTGAGGCAGGTCCTCTTGGCACAGCTTCCACAGTGTGGGGCTCCCAGGGTCCCTGGAGCACTAGGAGAGCTAACCTGCTCCTTCTTGGCAGGACCCTGCCCCACTGAGACATCAGGAACCAGGTCCCACTTTGATATGACTGACTTCCCAGAGGAATCGAGCTGGAGTGCTGTGATGCAGCAGCAGGATGGGGAGTCCCTCTCTGTCTCACTCTGCTCCCCAACCAGCGCCCGCATCGGCCGCTACAGCCTGACACTGGAGACCTCCACCGGCTACCAGGGCTCCAGCTTCCACATCGGGGACTTTGTCCTGCTCTTCAATGCCTGGCACCCAGGTGAGGCCTTCCCTTTCCCAAGCCTGGGGATTCCCAGATCCAGGCAAGCACAAGCCACCTCCCAGTTCCACCAGGGTGGCACATCCCTGTGAGTCTCTCCCCACTGCAGACCTCAGGTGCTCTGAGCCCTGTCCTGAGCAGGGATCTAAGCAGAAATCCTCATTTTGCTTCTATCTCCACACAATCCCTGCAGTAGGTCAAGGCCACAAACAGCATCCCCCATCCTAGGAAACACACATCCCAAACACCAAATGCCCTGTCCAGGCTGACCCCACCACACAGTACCCACAGGAACTCACCACTGTGATGCTGGTGTGGAGCCCTGGGCAGTCCCAGCAGCAGCTCCTAGTCAGGCAGTGGGCAGGGGAAAAGCCCCTAAATACCCCTAATTGCCCTCAGTTGTCCCTAGTTGCTCCTAATTGCCCCCACCTGGCCCATTCCTATCTGCCTTCACCCAGGCTCAGGGGCCAGACCTGGGTGCTCCCAGGGATGTCACTGTGCCAGTGAATTTGAGCAGCCAGACCCAGAGGCTCGAGTTGGCTTGGCTCAGCGCTACAGGGTTTAACAGCCCTGGAATTTTCCTCTCTCCATGTCCTTCCCCTGCCCCCAGACTGGCCAGTTTCCTGGATCTCAAATGCCTCATGCTGACTCTACAGAGATAAGGGGCTGTGCCGAGCACTGGTGATGGGGATGAATGCGTGGGGCTTCCTTCTGCAAACATTTCCAGTAAATACTGATTTCGCCAGCAGTAGTTGCTGAGTGAAATGGCTTAAGCTGTGCTCAGCTAGTGCACCCACTCCCACTGCTCACTGCTCCCTCAAGGAGGTCTCCCCTTCTGGGAAAAGACCTGACTCCATTAAATGAAAGGGAGAAAACACAGAGCAATGAGAAAGAATGGAAAGCAAACCACAAATCCACTGAAAGTTTCCCATGAGCTCCAATCAAACTGTGCTGAAAGTCTTCAGCAGCTTTATCAGGCAGGAGCAGTTCCAACCCCTGTTGCCTCATTTTCCACTGGATCCATCCCCAGGGAGGGGTAGCCCTGAGGGGGTCAGGGGGCTGGTGGTGTGGGGCAGAGCCCTGTCCCCATCACTTGCTGTCCCCACAGAGGACACAGTTTTCCTCCGTGACGAGAACGAGCGCCGTGAGTACGTGCTGTCCCAGGAAGGGCTCATCTACCAGGGCACCTCCGACTACATCTACTCCATCCCCTGGAACTTTGGCCAGGTGAGCAGGCATGGCCCTCTGGGCCTCTTGGGACCCTTGGCTGACCCCAATCTGTGCAACCCTAGTGCTGCAGAGCACAGAGACTGGTGCCATGTGTGTGCTCCCCGAAACGTGCACCCCAAACACTGTCAGCACCTCGGAGTGCAGCCCCGGGTCAAAGCAACCCGAATCTCATTTCCAAGAGGGAATGTGCTGACTTCAAAGCATGGCAGGGCGAGGGGAGTGTTCCACGTGGGTGCTGGGGGCCCTGCTGTGCCAGGTGCCGGTGCCTGATAACACACTCCCCGGCACTGTGCTTGGGGTGCTGATAAGGCAGTGTCCACACCCCGAGCTGCAGCCCCCATGGCTCAGGGGGAGCTCAACCTCCCTTCCCAAGCAAGGGGCTGGGGCTAGGAGGAGTGGAGTTGCCCATAGCCCCTACAGGATCCGTGCCTCTATTTGGGGAAGGGCTGTGACTCAACCATGATGGGAAATAGGTGGTTTTCCCAGAGGTCCGACCGATGCCTGACCCCTGTGAGGCTGCAGGAAGCTGGATCCAGCCCCAGCATGAGGGCAGGAGCTCACCCACAGGCTTCACAGGCTGAGTGGGAACATCACTCAGTGGGTGCTGGCCTGGGGGTGACCCTGGGGACATGTGAGCCCCTTGACCTCAGCAGTTCTGCTTGGAGGGGCATTGCAGGGAGCCAGGGAGGGAGGACAGAGGTGGCAGAGCCTCTGTGGGGACCTCACAAGCCTTTCTCCCCACTCTCCACCAGTTTGAGGAGGACATCTTATCCATCTGCCTCAAGATGCTGGACATAAACCCCAAATACCTGAGTGACCAGAACCAGGATTGCTCCCTCCGCAATGACCCTGTGTACATCGGCAGGGTGGTGAGTGCCATGGTGAGTCCAGGGCTTCTGGGCAGGGTGTTCCCAGCACCCCATATTTCCTGTGGTGCAAACACCCCCCAGCTACAGCTGTGACAGGGAGATGGCATTTGCCACACTCCCCCCATCCTCCAGTTACACAATTTTATTCTGTGGAGTGTTTCCCCTTCCCTTTACAGCCTTTCCTGGTATTGCTCCTATATGTGTAAGATCCTTCTAAAAGGAGGGGCCCAAATCATCCCAGGAGCAGCTTTGGGATAATCACTCCCAAGTTCCCAGGCAGGAGGACATGTTTCTAACATACGTTCTTAATTAGCACTGCAACCACCCACATCCTAGCGAGCTCTTGCACAGATGCAGGATGCTATTGTGGGTGACAGCACATGTAAATGGAGCAAAACCTGTTTCCCTCCCTTCCCAGCCTGCTCCTGCCCCTCCATCCATCTATCCCCTCTTCTCCTGCCACAGGTAAACTGTAATGATGAGGACCAGGGGGTGCTGGCAGGACGGTGGGACAACCGCTATGAGGATGGGATGAGCCCCATGGCCTGGATTGGGAGTGTGGATATTCTCAAGAGGTGGAAGAAGTTTGGGTGCCAACCAGTCAAGTATGGCCAGTGCTGGGTCTTCGCTGCTGTGGCATGTACTGGTGAGAGCAGATGTCTCTGGTCTCTGCTTCCCCACAGGACAGGGTTACCTGTGTCCTCCCATCTCCCACCCTGTTCCCCTGCTCTCTACCTACTCCTGGTGCTGTAGCCAGAGGGAAGAGCTGGGGCTGGCTGCAATCAGCCTGCAATGTTTCCTTTACAATTAGCTCTCTGTTATTCTAGTTTGTCAGGAAATAGAGGGAAAAAAATGATAGAAAAGGGCTCTGGCTTTTCAATCAGCGCTGCCTCCCCAGCCAGGCAGTGAGGGAGGAGCTGGGGCAGGAAAGTGGCTTTAAAGGCCAAGTTTGCAATAAAGTCACGAATTTGCTGAGATCAAAATAATGTCATGGCCACCAGGGCAGTCAGGCTGGGGAAAAAGAGGAGAACAATTCCAGATTGGCTGCTGCTGGGAAACCCTCACACATGCTCGTGCAGCTTCACCCCAAGAAAAACGCTGCCTGCGCGTGCACTGATGTGTCCCAGACAGACAAGACCCTTTTTAGAGGAGGGAAATAGCAGAAAACTAAAGTGGATTTTTCGGTGACTTGCAGAGGTTTATAGCCTTCCTTTGAAGTGCTGTAACTGCCTCCCTGCTCCCTAGGGAGCTCCAAGCGCAGTGAAAGGCAGCTGGGAGATGAAATCCAGGGTTCAGCACGGCTGCCTGTGCTCTCCCTACAAAGCTCTCACAGCCGCTTTTGTGCCTTTCTTCTGCTGCAATACCAAACCCATCAGACTGTCAGGGCCACGCACCACCCGGCTCGCCAGCTCTGGGAACCAGCTCATCGCAGGGATCAGTCCCCAGGCACCACTTTGGTGGGGAACATAAAGAACAGGAGTCATGCGAGGCTGGGGCTCCATGGGGCAGGGGTTGTGCAAATCTGGGGCTTTGTGGGACGGGAGTGGTGCCAACCCAGGCCCCCATCTCACCCTGCCCTGCTCCCTGTAGTCATGCGGTGTCTGGGGGTCCCCAGCCGGGTGGTGACCAACTACAACTCAGCCCATGACACCAATGCCAACCTGATCATCGACCGCTACCTCAACGAGACAGGGGGGCAGGAGCGGCAATCCTGGGACAAGATCTGGTAGGTGGCAGGGTGGGACCCCAGCCTGCTCCCCCCCAGGGCTGCCTCTGCCCCTTCCCCAAGCCCAGCAGGTGCTGGGAAAAGCTGAGGCTTCTACATCCTGGCTTCACTTGCAGGAACTTCCACTGCTGGGTGGAGTCCTGGATGGCCCGTCCAGACCTGGGAGATGGCTACGATGGGTGGCAAGTACTGGACCCAACGCCCCAGGAGAAGAGTGAAGGTACAACGTGCACCACAGGGATGCTCTGTCTACCTCCACCCTGACATAGCATCATTGCCCCACCACAGCCACCTCTTTCCCCTACCACAGCCATCCCTTTCCCAGTGGTGGCTGAACCCTGTGGTGGTGACAGTGGCTCTGCTCCCTGCAGGAGTTTTCTGCTGTGGGCCTGCCCCTGTCAAAGCCATCAAGGAGGGTGACCTGCAGCTGAACTATGACATCCCCTTCATCTTCGCGGAGGTGAACGCTGACGTGGTGTACTGGGTGGTGCAAAGCGACGGGATGCAGAAGCAGAGCATCCAGTCCTCCGTGGTGGGGAAGAACATCAGCACCAAGAGTGTGGGAAGGGACAGCCGGGAGGACATCACCCACACCTACAAGTACCCAGAGGGTATGAGGGATTGCAGGGGCAGAGGCACCCAGCAGGGGATGTGGCTGTTGGGAAACTACATCAGCAGGAGGGATCTAGGGCTCAGGGCAGAACAGCCCAGAATGTGCCCTCCACGTACTCCTGGGAACCACGGGAATTTCATGCACCACAGGGTCTCAGGAGGAGCGGGAGGTGTTCGCGAAGGCAGAGCACGAGAAGAAGTCCCACGGGGAGGAGGATGAGGGGCTGCATCTCAGGATCAAGCTGTCAGAGGGTGCAAAGAAGGGCTGCGACTTTGATGTCTTCGCTGTCATCAACAACAACACGGACGTGGAGCGTGTCTGCAGGGTGATGCTGTGCGCCCGCACCGCCAGCTACAACGGCACTGTCGGGCCCCAGTGTGGCCTGAAGGACCTGCTGCATGTTGACCTTGCACCCCGGGCAGGTAAGGGACCTCCTGATGGTGAAGGGAGGGTCAGGTCAGCAGCATGTCTGTGTTCAACTGCTCAGAGGGTGAGACTGCTTCAAGAACTTCCTCCTTAGTTATCTACCGCTGTGGATCTTTAATCTTTATGAGAGGATGAGGAAATTGTGCAGGCAGAGGCTGGAAATGCATTTGGAGCTGGACGAGCCACTGCCACTGCGGCTGTCATGCCGAGGGAGCAAGCAGGACACACTCAGGCTGCTGTCCCTGGATGCTCCATGGCACTCATCTACATCCCTCCTGCCCTCACATGCATCTCTGGGCTAGGCTGGGCTCTCTGGTGGGATCTCCCCACAGGAAGGAGAGTGAGACTGGC